ATGCTGGAGTATTAGGAAGGACATCTGGTCCTGGTCCTTGTATCTGTGAAAAAAATGTTATATGTGTTGGTAGTATTCATTGGCACCAACTACTAATTGATTTTATGTGCATGACTAAGTATGTGAATGATTGCATATTGATATATGTTTGTTAGTAGGATTGTACACTACTAACTATGTGGTAATAGATTCATGCATGATGAAGTCTATGAATGCTTGCATAATTATATGTTTGGTTTGGAGCAAACTGAATGGACTATGTGCAAGCATCTGAATGTTTATGCTTTGGACTTCTGTTGTTTCTAGTGCTCAACTCTGATACATGAAAGTTGTTAACGTTGAAATTCTCTAAAGATCCAGTACATCTACTGGATGTCACTTGTTCTCACGGAAGAAGTTCTATTTATCTTGAAGAGTTTTTTTCCATAATTTGCCAAAGGGGATATTGTTGTTCCTATTGGATTGGCTGCATTTTAGCAAAACAACAATTTGGATAAGTGTCTAAGTATTCAAGATTGGTCTAGCTTGCTAAAGTTGTATGAAGCTGCATAAAGAACACATGTTGGGCGCGATGGTTCAGCATGTTAGAACAACATTTGGCCCTTGTGCAACAGGCACCTAAATGTTGTGTTTTGGAGTATGTTTTGCAGAAGATTTGCTAAAGATGTTATTGTTATTGATTTAACAATATGATTAAGTGATTTGTTTAAAAACTAGATATAGTTTAATTTGGATTTAAATTTAAATTTTAAATTTTAAAAAAAAAATCATATCTTATTCGAGATATTCAAGGATCAAATCAAATATCCAACAGATTATGCATTAATTATGGACGAATTCAAAGATATTATCGAAAAACCCAGAGTTACTTTACTATATAAGGAACTCAAACCTTCATTGGAAAGCAAGCTTTCCTATTGAGGTGAGAATCGGACTTCAAGCTATTGATTAACTTGAATCAAAAATCTTTAATACTCACCACTAAGCTTTGATTTATCAAAAGCAAAGGGTAAAGATTGAAGAAAACCCTAAGTGTGCTACGTGAACGAAGCTAAGAGATCGGGGGTTGGTTATACTAAGGGAAGGTATTAGCACCCTAAATATCTGTAGTATTCTACAAGAGCCTCTTGTTTGGTTTTTGTGTTATTGCTAATGTTTGTCTACTAATGGTTATGTGCTAAGGTGCTAAAGGTAAAGACCTATGGGTATGTACACTAAGTATGCTCACTAAGACTTTGCATCTCGTGCCTATGTATCCTTACAAGGATGGAACCAGAGCAACCGTAGTTCTCCTAACTAGGGCCTCTTGAATATGCTCAAGGTTTCAAAGGGAATAAGTATTCATAACAATGATACTTATATAAAGTTAACAAACTCTATAAGTCTAGGTTGAAAGACTAACAGGGGGTTTGACTTTAACAAAAGCCAAAAGAGGAAAAGTGAGTACCCATGACAATGGTACACACATAGAGTTAACAAACTCTAGACCTAAGCTCTAAGTTATATGATTCCTACAAGGTAGTGGATTCTAACTTAATGCTAAGTTGAAAGTCCTAATGACTCTAACATGGTCAAAGATAGGTTTGAGAATAAAAGAGCTATCTATGACATTGAGTCAATAGAGAGACTTTCCTTTGGAATTAGGAACACAAGGCAACTCTTTTTTAGGACGAGAGTTAACAAGCTACATCAGTTGGGGGAAATTTAGCAAAGCTTAAGCACATATACATTCATTCAAACATGATGAAAATATAAAATCATGGTAACAACCAAGAAAGTAAAGGCAAGCATATGACAACATCAAGCAAAGCAAATAACAAGGTTACAACCAAGTATTCATCCGTAGAAGTTTAGAATTAAACCATATGGTTACAATCAAACATAGACCTTACAACATCTAAATGGATATGAAATAAGGTTCTTACAAGACCAAGCATCATAGATGACAAGTACAAGTGAATCATGCATAAGTCAAAACATTACTTATCATGGCAAATTCAAAACTCAAGGTCAACATGCATAAATCATAATAAAATTTAAGGCGTGTATACATATCAAGAGAAGTGGAGGTAACAACCAAAATCTTTAAACAATAGTGTGACATGTGTGACAAAATCATATGAATTATGGTGAATCATGTTTAAACAAGAAGGTAACAACCAACATGTAAAAGGAGTTCAATCATGATTTTTTGAAGAAGATGAGAAACATCTCAAAGGTGATTCATGCATACTAAACATATTTCAAAGAAAAACAACAAGTGTTCAAGAACACTCAAGGCAAGGTATGATAGACATGAAGCACATGTACATTCAAATCATTTGATCATGGAAGAGAATCACATGTCAAGGGCAAAGGTAACAACCAAGGTTTTATGATATTCAATCATGCATTCACATATGAACATGAACTTGAAAAATGCAATCACCATCATGTAACAACAAGGGAATCCAAATTCACCACACCAAGTAAAGTTCATACAAGTTGTGTGATGTTTATACAAGTCAAAATATGCAAGGAGAATCAAAGGAATTAATCAAAAGATCAAAAGGAAACCTAAGAAACCCTAAAAAAGTCACATGCTTTGAACATGAATAAGTACCAAATAAATAATTCTTTTGGGATTTTTCTTGACATAGACAAAAAATAGACATTCATATGAGCATTTAGCAAGAGAGTGGTGTCAAAAGGATAAAAATCAAGAGATTTATGATCAAACCAATTTGTGAAAGAAAACATGAAAATAAGGCATTAAAAATAGAAGGAATGCACTCCATGGGGCTTGAACCCATGCACTATTGCTCCCAAGTCAAAATTGTAACCATCCAACCAACGCGCGCATTATGAGTCATATGGAAACAAGATATTATATGTGAAACAAGCTTCAAGAATGAGAAAATGGGCAAAAACCATCAAAAGGGTGGTCGCTGGGACTCGAACCCTGGTTAGGAAAGGCAAGAGTGTACTTGAAAGCGCATGGTAAACCATTGGAGTGGAGATACATCCATTGTATCACCTCCCTTAGTTAAAACAAAAGCCTTCAAATGACTTGAATCTTAACCAAAAGGCGTCATGGCTGGCCTTTACTTCTCAAAAGAATCAATTTCCAAAACATAGCATATCACTTTTAATACTCCATGAAAATTGATGATCCAAAGATCAAACTTTCTTAAATTTTCACAAGGATCACAATGGTACCATTGCTTTTGGCTAACAATGTTTCCATTTTAAAACACGATAGCATGATCAAAAAAGTCACATTCTTGCATTTTTTTATAGCATAGTCTCATTCATACATGATAAGCAGCAAATAATGGTTCTAACACATCACATATGACATATCAAACATTTATTTATAAGCTTTACTTGACTGAGTATCCGAGGAAGATACCTTCATCTGCCTTGGAGTCAAATTTACCTAGACTTTCGTTTGCATTGTTTAACACGAAACACTTACAACCAAAGACATGTAGGTGAGACACATTTGACTTTCGCCCTTTTAAAAGTTCATACGGTGTTTTGTTTAGAATAGGGCGAATGAGCACCCTATTCAAGACGTAACACGTCGTACTAATGGCGTCGGCCCATAAATACTTAGGTAACCCACTTTCATTGATCATAGCTCTCCCTAACTCTTCCAAAAATCAATTTTTGCGCTCCACCACCCCGTTTTATTGAGGGGTACACGGAGCGGAGAAGTTATGATCAATTCCGTGTCTACCACAATATTCCTCAAACAGATAATTCCCGAACTCGCCTCCATGATCACTTTTAATTGATATGATGTTTGTGTTTAACTTATTTTGAGAAATCTTAGCAAATTTTTCAAAGGCAGAGAATGTATCACTCTTTCTAGCCAAGAAGATAGTCCAGCAAAATCTAGAAAAATCATCGACTATAACAAAACCATAATAGTTACCACCTAGACTTTTAATTCTAGATGGCCCAAATAGATCCATATGGAGAAGTTCAAGAGGTCTCGTAGTTGAAACAACATTTTTAGATTTAAATGAGATCCTTGTTTGCTTCCCCATTTGGCATGCATCACATAAATGACCCTTGGTAAACTTGATTTTGGGTAAGCCTATGACTAGATCTTTTGAAACTATCTTATTTAGCAAGTCAAAGTTGACATGCGCTAAACGTCTATGTCATAACCATGAGTCCTCACTCATTGTCACGAGACATTTATCCCTAGTCAATGATACTTCACTCAAATCTAGCATATAGACATTATTTACTCTTAGACTATTAAACACATCCTTCATTTTCTTTAAATATGAAGGCATTTTCAATTAGTCAAATATGTTTTAAAAAAATCTAGGCATTTTCTATTTAAGAAAAAGTCTGACCTGTTATAGACCTATGTAGGTTAGGTCATAGGTCCTTGTTAGTTGACCGAACATATTCTCACCCTTATCTATTAGATGCTCTTATGATCTTTAATATCTTGTGTGAGAGAATTTGATAGGTTTTAACCTTTATTAAATTCCTATTTTCTTTTCATTTATGAATGGAGAAAATTATCCATTGACCAAATTTATGTATGAATAATGATCATGATATTTTACTTAAAGGTATAGGTCATCATTTGCTAACTCCATACGTTTAATTTCCTAGTTCGTCTGCATGAAAAAACTCAAAGTTTGAATCTTTAAGTAACATAGCATGTGGTTTTACAAAGGACAGCAATGATCAATTTTATTTTTAGAAAAATTGATGTAACTATAACTGCAAATCAGTGTCTCTCTTCCAACCACAAAAGTGACCAAATCTCACGGCAACACCACACAACCTTTGAAAAAGTCACAACTTACCTTAAACAATCAGAAACCTTAAACTAATCCCACACTTATGCCGATAACACAGCCACTTCACATGTTACATCCCTATCCACACCCCTTTGTATTCCTTCACACACTCCTTCTCTTTCCTTTAAAACACAAACTCTCACTCTCTCTTTCTCACAACAATCTCACTCTCTCTTCGTCGCATCAACCATGGCTGCAACTTCACCACCATTGAAAGATGAACTTGACATTGTCATCCCTACTATAAGAAACCTAGATTTCTTAGAAATGTGGAGACCATTCTTCGAACCTTATCATTTGATCATTGTTCAAGATGGTGATCCTACAAAAACCATCAATGTCCCACCTGGTTTTGATTATGAACTTTACAACAGGAACGACATTAACAAGATTCTTGGTCCTAGAGCTTCTTGTATCTCATTCAAAGACTCTGCATGTCGTTGCTTCGGTTACATGGTTTCCAAGAAGAAATACATCTTCACCATTGATGATGATTGTTTTGTAAGATTCTTTCAAATGTTTTTCTTTTCTTTTCGAAGAGTTTCTTTTTTATAAGTTTGTTTTTTGTGTGTGTGTTTGTGTTAGGTTGCTAATGATCCATCTGGAAACAAAATCAATGCGCTTCAGCAGCATATTACGAATCTTCTGTGTCCTTCAACACCTTTGTTTTTCAATACTCTCTATGATCCTTTTAGAGAAGGTGCGGATTTTGTTCGCGGATACCCTTTTAGTCTTCGCGAAGGTGTTCCTACAGCTATCTCTCATGGACTTTGGCTCAACATTCCTGATTATGATGCTCCTACACAGCTTGTCAAGCCACTTGAGAGGAACACTAGGTATGTATAATGTACTATCTGTGCGTTCACGCAGTCAGCATATCAGTGACCGTTGAATCGAGATCTGGGATTGTATAGATATTTTTAGTTTTAATATTTGATTTTGAGTATGTTTGTGTTGATGTGATAAGGTATGTGGATACTGTTTTGACAATACCAAAAGGAACATTGTTTCCAATGTGTGGAATGAATTTGGCATTTGATCGTGATCTCATTGGACCAGCTATGTATTTTGGTCTCATGGGAGATGGTCAGCCTATTGGACGATATGATGATATGTGGGCTGGCTGGTGCTGCAAGGTTCTTTTCTTTTTTTTTCATTTTTTAACATGTTATTCTTCTTGAGGCTTGTGATTCATAATAGTTAGAAACTATAAAGCACTTGCACACAGACACCAAACACATCAGTACACATATTTTTAATCGGAAGTGCTGGTGTCTGATACGGATACTGCTACATTTTTTTAGAGGTGTTGGTGCTATAGATGTTAGAAATTCAAGTTTGAATGATAAAAAACAATCTTACATTGTTCAGAAAAACACTTACTACATGGCAGTCTTAAGTTTTTAGAGGTCCTATAAATCATGTGCGATAGACGGTCTTGCATGACTATAAAGATGGCTAGTTTATATGAATTTCTTTCCATTAACAATTAAGAATCATTTTTTATTATGATTTACTCAGGTGATTTGTGATCATTTGGGGCTAGGAATCAAGACTGGACTCCCCTACATCTTTCATAGCAAAGCAAGTAATCCATTTGTGAACTTAAGGAAAGAGTACAAAGGGATATTCTGGCAGGAAGAGATCATTCCATTTTTCCAAAATCTCGTTCTTTCACAAGAATGCACAACTGTTCAAAAGTGTTACATTGAAATGTCAAAGCAAGTCAAAGAAAAACTTGGAAAGGTTGATCCTTATTTTGACAAATTGGCAGATGCTATGGTCACTTGGATTGAAGCTTGGGATGAACTTAACCCTTCCAAGGCATCTTAGGCCAATCACAAAGCATTAAAAAAAACTTAAACTATTACAAAATGTTGAAATAATGACAAAATAATCAGAGACGGAAAAAAATAAATCAGTAGCTAAATCTAACGTCTCTAATGTTTAGAGATGGGTTTTGCTTTTTCCGTCTTTAAATTTATGTCATTATTTCAAATTTTTAAATAATTCGTAAAGTACAAACATAATCGTTAATCTTAAATTTGAGTTATTTATATTGTGTATTTTTCTAAAGTGTTTTGTTATTTGTATTATTGTGACTTAGAATTTGCAGCATTGTTAGCTGTAATTCTAAATTTTAAGACTTTGTGGTTTGAAGTTAGAAGCAATAAGGCACAATGATCTAGGTCATTGTTACTTGTGATTTTTGTTTTATGAGTTCAAGTGATCTTTGTTTGTTCAACCTTATATTATTTTGGAAGCAATGTGTTCTTATGTGAAAACATGTGTTATTGGAAGAATGTTAATGTATGGTTCATTTAGTCTTCATTAAACCTTTTTTTAGTATAAATTATTAGTCTAATAAAATCGAGTAAACCATTTTTACACATATATCCAATCAAAATACATCATGTCGTTTTTCTAAAAACTCAACATTCAATTCTAGAACCGACTAATCCACCAATCAAACTACTTTCTTCTTAAAAACTTGACATTCAACCCTATAACTAATTAATTGAGAGATCAATTATAATATCTACTAGCCAGAGACTAGAGCTATGCACCTATAATAAGTTGCAGTATGAAATAACTATGGCCTTAGAAGATTTGGAACCTTGTGGCATTGACTTTTTTAATAATAGTACAGCTGCATGCATCAGGAAGATCTAGCTAGATGTGATTTTGGTTCAATTGGGTGGACACCATTGTGGTTCTTATCTTTTCAACTTAATTAGTAACTGGTTCTGTCATGTACTAAACTCTCTGAATGTGTTGCAGTGGTAATTACTGTTACATTTGGATTTGTGTTACATACTATGTGTTTGCTACATTATTGGTAATTACCAGTTCTTGTACCCTCACCGACACTAGTACTTATTCTTTTAGGGAACACAAAAGTACTACTAACGCTATCCCATCATGAATGAAGTAGTAAAAAAAAAATTTTTAGATGAAGAAAAAATAATGCGTAGAATTGATTTTTTTCTTAAGGATTTTTGAATGTATTCTATACGTTTTTTATGCATCTCGCGAAGATATAAAAATGTTTTTTAATTTTTAAAAATGTATTTTTGAACGTAATCAATACACACTCAATGCATGTCATTCTGAGCGGCGTCTTATAAATTAAAAAAAAAAATATTTTAAATATGTATCTCCGAAATATTTTAAGAAATATATTTTTAATTAATCAGTTCAGTAGAAATTCGGGAGTCACATCTCCAGAAGTTTGGACAGGATTTTGAAATATTTTATCACCTTTGCATGTTAGATATTTTCGAAGATGTATCTTCAGAATAATCTGATAAAATACAAAGTTGTATGATCACACAGTTATTGTTGTCATTGTTATTTTCCTCTACAAATCCTTACTTAAAACCCCTTCATTCTCAATTCGTTTTTCACTCTAAATGTTCAATCTTGTGGTTCATCACATCAAATAGAGGAAAAAAAGTTAGAATTTTAGGTAAAGATCATTTATTTCACAATGCATTGCTCACATGAATCTTGTATTTTGTCTGAAAAAACGAGTGTTGGGTCCACAAATGCATCTCTAGAACGAATATGAACTTTTCTGAAAATGCATTTTCGGAACTTGTCTGTGTTCGTTTTCTAACTTTGTTTTTAGTAGTGGCGCTTATATACTGTTATGTTGTAATTGTTTTCATTAGATATGATGCACCCTGATGTTTTCTCAAAACAAGTTGTTTCTTTGAATGTCCAAGGTGTTGTTGTGAATGCGGTAGATGTTGGCAAGCAATTTAAAAACCAGCAAGAGTTTAAATCTCGTGATCAAATGCTTCAATGGATTCGTATGGAGGCCTCTAAATTTGGATTTGGTGTGGTTATTGGAAGGTCTGATAATGGTTCGGATAGAAGATGTGTTTTTGTGACAATGACGTACGAAAGAAGCGAGAAATATAGAATTTCTCTCTGAAATTTTAAAAGAGATGACATTGGTTCAAGAAAATGTGAGCGTTTGTGCATGGTTACATGTTGGCAAACAAAAATTGGAGATTCAATGTCATATGTGGTTTGCATCACCATGATTTATGTGAAAAATTAGTCGGTCATCCTAGTGAAATGCAACAACTCTCGAAACTGTTGGATTATAACAGTTACGTGTTTAGGTATCGAACGTGCGATAATGGAGTTAATGTTAGAGATATATTTTGGACTCATCCTAATTTCATAAAGTTGTTCAACACATTTCCTACTGCGTTCATACTTGATTCAACCTACAAGACCAACTAGTATAGACTTTCATTATTGGAGATGGTTGGTGTTGCCTCAACTGAGAAGACATATTTTGTTGGGTTTACATTTCTTGAGAGTGAAAAAGAGGTATGCCTTAAAGGTGTGTCGGACATTATTGAAGAACCAAGGTGAGATGCCTAAAGTGATTGTTACCAACAAGGATATCGCCTTGATGAATTTGCTTGCAAAGGTATTTACTTCTTCTAATGCATTACTTTGTAGGTACCACATAGAAAAAAATATGAGAAGTCGCGTAAAATTCGTGGTAGGGACGAAACAGATAGAGTCTGAAGATGGAAAAATGGTGAAGGCGGGTGTGGTTATGGAAAAAATAATGGATGAAGGAGAAAAATGGTGAAGTCCGAAGACGAAAAAAATGAGAAGTCATGTAAAACCCATGGTATGGATGAAACAGATAGAGTTTGTTATGCATTTCAGGAAAGTGTGTGAAAAGTATCCTGATTTGTTGAAATATGTTGAAAGTACAATTCTTGACCAGATGAAGGAGAAAATTATTTGTGCTTGGACTGATAATGTTAGACACCTTAGAAATACAACAACTAACACAGTTAAGTATGCCCATGCTACTTTGAAAAATTGGTTGGGAAATAGTAAGAGTTATGTGTGTAGAGTTTGGTACTCTATGAACCAAATGATTCAAAATCAACATAATGAGATACAAACATCATTTGTCGGAGCATCAAAGTTTTAGAACACGGATTTAAAGACAACAATCTTTATTCTCAGTTGGTCAGAAACGTTTCTTGAGCAGGTTTGAATTATATTTTTTACGAGACTAGGCGAGCTGATATTGTAGGCTCCAATAACGCAAAGTATGGATGCACAATTGTGAAAACATATGGTATCCCATGTGTTTGTGTTATTGCGTAAAATGTAAGACTTGATAGCCCGATAAAAATGGATGAGGTTTGCATTCATTGGAAGAGACTTAGATTTGATGATGATGGTGTCATGAATGGCGGTAAATCAAATATCTCTATTTTAACCGAATGGAAAGTGATACAAGAGATATTTTTGAAAGCCGATGACAATATGAAACTCCACATCAAATAAAAATTGAGGAATATTGCCTATCTGGAAACCACCTAATTGAAACCACCATCTCAACCTATAAAAACAAAAGGTGCTCCAAAGAAAATGAAGCCTACACCGAATGACAATTCGACTACATGGTCTCCTTCATATTTTGAACATGTTGACAAAGTTTTTCCCGACTCAACAACTCCAAAATCACAAAAAAAAAGTGTTGTTAAAGGAGCTTGCATTAGCAAACCACCTCCTACGTCGTCTCCACCAAAAATTTCATTCATCGACGAGATGCCCGGATCATTCTATGGAAATGGTGCAAGAGCTCAAGAAATTAAGAAAAATTGAAAGAGAATCAAATGCACAAAAGTCCAAGGGGTACCACCCATAGATTTAGTCGGTGATATATTGTTTTGATTCGTTTTAATTTCTTGTTTACTCAGACAAATAAGTGTATGTAATTGTGTCTCAATATAAATGAAGTGTAATATACTCAACGCTTATTCATATTGTGTCTTAATTCATTTTTTATCTTCCCCATAACAACATTTGTTATTTTGTCGGGAAAAAAGGTTATGATTTAAAGGTTTTGTCTTTAAACCTGTTTAGGAGAGGTTCCAGAGATGCATCTGTGAAACATGATAATATGGTGTGGAACCGAATATATATTTGCGGAATCAGCATGCCAGCTTTTGAGTGGTTCATATTGATATATGTCTTTTATAAATTATGGTGCTCTTATATTATATTTCACACAAACTGAAAAAATCTCAAATGTCACAAATAAGCATCAATTGGTATGTCACAAATGTCTTCTTCTCCAGCTCTACACTCGGGCAATCATTTAAGCTCACGAGTACACCTCTCTCGAAGATATTAAAGACGAAATCCATAATCTCCTACCTTATAAAGACAATCGAAGGATTGTGAAGGTCAAGTATCGTTCACTGTCAGTTGACAACAAAGGGAAGATTGAGTTCATCAAATTTGAGATCAATGCTCAAGCAGATGTAAGGGTTATATAGAATATGTATTTCCATTTTGAAACAAAAGTTCCACTCGAGTTGGAAGCGACAATTTCAAGATCGGTCAAAAATATTGTGAAGATGTTAAAGCGTCCACCAGGATATTGAAGTGTAATGTTTTATTTATGTTGAAATGATCTATATAATGCTTATTTTATTTTATGGATGTTAATTTCATTTTAAAAAATTACATGGTTTTAGTTCTGCTACTGATGTGTCTGTATTATGGAAACGTAACTATGGAAACATTCCAGAGACACATCTCTGGAATAAAGAAAACCCAAATTATAGGATGTCACTCATAATGGCTTAGGTTGAGTGTGTGTTGGGGTGCATCCGGAGATGCATCTCCAAAAGTTAGGAGCAATTTAGAATTTTCGCGTGGTGCCTAAGAAACATATAGTATGCATTAAGCAATCCTTTTTTTTTACAATTGTCAAAACGGAATACTCGGCCCGTTTAAGGCCGGCCTTGACGGGCCTCAGATTTTTTAGGGTCGAG